TAAAGTCTTAACCTTTAACGGTCTGTCTCCCAATGTTTACTAGTTTTTTGAGTTGTTGTGACTTAAGCTTGTAGAGTCGGAAAAGACTCGTGTACTCTGTTTTGGTTTTTGCCTTTTGGCTTCTTTTGGTGGACTTGAATGTAGCAAAAAATGGTGTGAAATTGTAAAAAAGTCTACTTTTATTATGCTTTTGTAGAAATACATCAATCAATCTACATAATCCATTCTATCCATGTTCTTCCGGGCTTTTTGAAGACCAGTAGGATCTTAGTTTGCATCGGTGGTTAAGAGAGTCTTGACAATGTCATCAACCATGCCTTTGCCAAAGTGTAAGAAGTGGCCACTTCCCGAAACCTCATGATAGTGAAGCCATGGAAGCTTATGTGCAATGTAACGTTGCATAGTCACAGGCACTAACATGTCCTCATTTCCCTGCCACAAATGAACAGAGCCTTCTTTGTTCAAGAAGGGGTTCTCGAGCTCTAAAGGATCAAATTCCCAGCTCCCAAATCCCACGATCATGTCGCGGTTAATACTCTCATGTATCCCTTGTTGTCTTACTTCTGCTATATGCGGTTTCCTTGACGAACCCAGCTTCAAAATGATATCTTTATCCGGCTTCGACAAGATACTGTGATCTCGGTTTGCGACACTAGAACCCGGGAACCAATTCTGTGTGTTCCACCAGTAGATAAGCCAAGGTGCATAATGAGCCACACGAACCGCCCATTGATCTCTTCTTGGCTGCAAGTTAAAACCTTCAGTGGAAACGTTCAAAGGTAAGTTCCTCCACCAATAGTTAACCACAGGAACAACCAGTGTCACTCCGGCTAACCGGTGAGGGATGTATTTAAGACATCCCCATGTAGCTTGTCCTCCCATTGAGTAACCAATCACATAGAATTTGGATCCTAGACTCAATTGATCAGCCAGCTCTTCAATGTCCAAAACCAAGCTTTTCGGGGTACGATTTGGATGGGGATCGCTCTCGCAATAACCCGGTCGGTCGAACGAAACCATATAGACGCCTAGTTCCTCCACTAAATCCTATAAATTTGAAATTGATCATCACTAAACTGACATAAACCGTAGTTATTACAGAAATAAATAAAATTTGCAAGTAGAATTACCGGAGAGAGTAGAGTGGCGTAAACAGCATCGAGTCTACAACTATCAGATCCATGAATGAAGACGATTTTGCGGCGAGCTTTCTCTCTTGGAAGTCCATGCTCTTTGTACGCCAAATTCCTCCCATCTCGGAGCTTTATACGCGGTGCTGTGATCGGAGCTTTATACGCGGTGCTGTGATCGGTGGACCACCGTGGGAGCCACATAGCTTCGCCGGTTGAGGTTTCAACACTGACTGATAAGTCAACGCCACGATCACCCCAACAACAATGATGATCACACTTGAAGGCCAAATCATTTTTACCGTATTTCTTCCTTGTATATTATATAGCCACATTTCTGTTTTTTTTTCAGATCTGGATCCACCACTGCCTTATGTCTTAATTTAATGTGGTGATATATAGCCACTCTTGTTGCGGTCTCAACACTATCAATTTGATACATTTTTGAAGTTTGTCTTACCGTTCCAAAAAAAAACACAAAACTGAAATGTGTTCCAGGCCGATTTGTTTTTTGGGCCGAGCTCAAGTCCAATATCAATAAGCCCATTAATATATTGCCAATTGGCCCATATTAAACCAACGATAAATGACAGTATATAATGCCTCGTTAACGCTTTAGGGTTTCCGATTCGTCTTCCTCAGTAGCAGCAGTCTTGAGCTAATCGGCCGATTCGAAAATGGTGAAGGGACGTCAAGGAGAACGAGTCAGGTGCTTTTTTTTTCTTTCTATTTGTTCTTTGTGCTTGATCTATACTTTAGTTTCTCAAGCTATGGCAATCAGTATAGATTTGCTCGCTTTGCGTCTATTTTCGACTCCTTCTGATTTGTTTCTCCTGTTAAGTCGATATATAAACTGATTTATGATGGTTCCATTGCTAATTTTGCAGACTCTACGTTAGAGGAACCATCCTCGGGTACAAAAGGTGAGTTAGAACTTTAATCTCTTTGTTATATAAATTGTATACTGGTTAAAGGGATCTGGATTTAGCTTCAATTTGGATACTGGGTAGCTTATGTTTCTGATACATTTTAGAAAAATCAAAAGTCAAAACTTTCTTGTGTGTTATAGAATCTCCGTTATTAACTGTTGTGATCATATCTACTTAGTTGTCTGCATTTTCTTAGAGTAGTATACTAGCATTTTAGTATTTGTTGGTTCTACTGAGATAGCCTTGTCATTTAGCCATTTGATACTACCTATGATGTCATTTGGTTCTGGTCTCTGATATTTACTGGAATGTGTAGGTCGAAGTCGAACCAGTATCCAAACACATCCCTTGTCCAGATTGAAGGAGTCAACACTACTGAGGAGGTAACATGGTACAAGGGTAAGAGGTTGGCGTACATTTACAAGGCCAAGACAAAGAAGAACGGTAGCCACTACCGTTGCATCTGGGGGAAAGTTGCCAGGCCTCATGGTAACAGCGGTGTTGTCCGCGCGAGATTCACATCGAACTTGCCTCCCAAGTCCATGGTACTTTAACAGATTGTTTTAACCAGTAATCATTTTCATGTGGAATCTCTGCTTGGGGTTTTAACAAGACACTTTTTGTTTTTGTTTATGCAGGGAAACAAAGTGAGAGTCTTCATGTATCCGAGTAACATATGAAGAAGCAGTGTAAAACAAGCATAAACTTGATTTAGCTGTGGTTTTTGTCCACTAGTTCGTTGTTTTGTATTTGATATTGAAAGCATTTTCCTTTCCTTTGTTTGAAGTGTTTTGGAGATTCTCTAAATAGACTTTGATCATGGATCTGGTTTTTAATCGCAAATTAGAATCTTTGTTTCACCATTCTCTTGAGTTGACACAAGAGTGAAGTATTATGGTCTCATAGCTTATTATTTTCGTTATTCAACGACTATGTCATCTTCTCATAGTCTTTTATTGTTCTTGGTGTGCTTGAGATTTTTTAAACTGAAAATATAAAAATCTCATGAATATTGATAATAAGCAAAGACAGTCAATGTTCAGTTGCATAATCGCAATTTCTATCTTCGATCACATATTAAGTGAAAAGTAAAGCTTATCATTTTGATCCTATAACTAAGAAATAATCTCTTCACATTCTTGTAAAATCACAAAATTATCCATAAAATATTCTTAAGAACCAGATACTCGATTTGTAATGTCCGGCCTTAGGCCCAATTAGACTCTTATGGGTTTAGGTAAGCCCAATATCTGAATACCAACCAAATACTGATTTTTGTTTTCAGGGGT